TTCCCTTCTTTTTCCAACACTGGGGTTTGAACTCAGAACTCAGAGTCTCAAACTCACTAGGCAGGCACTCTATCTCTTGAGCCTATGCTTCCAGCCCTCTTTTGCCTTATTTATTCTTCAGATAAAAAAAAAAGATGGACCATGATCCTCTACTTACAGCCTCATGTGCAGCTGGGGTCACAGCTTCGCAGGCAGGTGTGTGCCACTGTGTCCAGCTTGTTGGTTGGAGATGGGGTCTTGCTGACTTATTGCCCCAGCTGGCATCGAACTGTGATCCTCTGGATCACAGAGGATCTTCTATAATCCTCTGTGATCCTCTGGATCCTCTGGATACTTCCTGAGTAGCTGGGATTACAGGTGTCAGCCACCACACCCAGCTCCACCTGTTAGTACTTTAACACCCATCCCTAGAGCTCAACCGTTTGTGTGGGCTGGGAAACAGAGTAACCCTCACATCCTTGCTGGGACTGGAACCAGGACCAGGACCAAGCTGGCATCCTGCCAGCCAGAATGAATAGCAGAAGAGACGTGGATGTAGATAGAAGGAGAGGGGCCTGTCTGTCCATGCCTCTGGAGACTGTTTGGAAGTCAGTCATGACTGGATACCACTACAGGGGCCACTGGGCAGGGACCTATGGAAGCAGAGCATACCACAGCTAGATGAAGGGTGGACTTTGGGCCCTCACCTTCTGCCAACCTGCCCAGCAGCCTCCATCCAGTGCCTTTACCAGGTAAGTATCAGAGGACTAGAGGACATGGAGCTCCTCAGCGTGGAGCCTCACCGGGCCCAGGCCGGGGACCCAGAAGCTCCGGAACCTCTCTGCCGCCCCAAACCCAGCTGATCCTCCCTTTTACTCTCAGAACTCTGCCCAGCATCCACGCTCTGAGGCCAACCCCGAGACCCGTGGGCACGGGCTCAGGCCCAGTACCGGCCTCACCCACCCAGGCGCCCCTCGGCCAGAGCCACCCCTCCCCAGCCCCCAGGGCCGCCCAGCGGTGGCTGGTCACCAGATGCCCCACTGCCAGGGGTGGAGTGCAGCCCCAGGGTGGAGGACGTGGGGTTTGCCACCATATGTGGCTTTGGCTGTGGCCCCAGCACGTCTGACCCAGCCCCAGGCACCAAGAACTTGGCCTCCTCTGCCCTGCCCGGCCTGGCTCTTCCCCGGGCCTGGCCTGGACCCCCGCCTCCCTTCAAAGGAAACTTCTCCCGGGTGCAGGAAGATGGCCAGACACGGGGCCCAGCCGGCCCAGCCCGCGGCTGCCCCACTCCACAGGGAAGGGTGCCCGAGGAGGGGCTGCGGGGCGCGCTGGCCGCAGGGCGGGCCAGAGACCCTCGCCCGCCTGACCCCGCGGCCCTGGAACTCCGCCCTGGGTAACCGGGCAGAGTGAGGGTCGTCATGGCTCTGAGAGCTTCTCCCGCAGGAGTAGCCACACACAGATCGGACCTGGGCCAGAGCTCCAGGGTCCAATCAGGCTCTGAGCCACCCCCACGAGGCCCCGCCCTGCTCACGAACCTGCCACTGCCCGGTAAGGCCACGCCCCGGACCTGCCCCGCCCTGTGAGGCCCCGCCCCCAGGGCCTGCCACCTCCCCCGTGAGGCCACACCCCACTCCTGGACCTGCCACTCCCTGTAAGGCCCCGCCCATGGTCTGCCACACCCCGTGAGGCCCCACCCACGGATCTGCCCCTCCCCCGTGAGTGCCTAGGCCCTCAAGGACCAGTTATTCCCCGCCCCTCGATACCCCGCCCTGCCCCAGTGAGGCCCCACCCCCTCACAGGACCTGCCACTCCTCCAGGAATGGGCCCCGCCCCTCACAGGACCTGCCACTCCCCCCAGGAATGGGCCCCGCCCCCTACAGGACCTGCCACTCCCCCCAGGAATGGGCCCCGCCCCCCTACAGGGCCTGCCACGCCCCCAGGAATGGGCCCCGCCCCCCTACAGGGCCTGCCACGCCCCCAGGAATGGGCCCCGCCTCTCACAGGACCTGCCACTCCCCCAGGAATGGACCCCGCCCCCTTACAGGACCTGCCACTCCTCCAGGAATGGGCTCCACCCCCTCACAGGACCTGCCACTCCCCCAGGAATGGCCCCACCCCTCACAGGGCCTGCCACTCCCCCAGGAATGGGCCCCACCCCTCACAGGACCTGCCACTCCCCCAGGAATGGCCCCACCCCTCACAGGGCCTGCCACTCCCCCAGGAATGGGCCCCACCCCCTACAGGGCCTGCCACTCCCCCAGGAATAGGCCCCGCCTCTCACAGGACCTGCCACTCCCCCAGGAATGGACCCCGCCCCCTTACAGGACCTGCCACTCCTCCAGGAATGGGCCCCGCCCCTCACAGGGCCTGCCACTCCCCCAGGAATGGCCCCACCCCTCACAGGACCTGCCACTCCTCCAGGAATGGGCCCCGCCCCTCACAGGGCCTGCCACTCCCCCAGGAACGGGCCCCGCCCCCCCACAGGCCCTGCCACTCCCCCAGGAACGGGCCCCGCCCCCCCACAGGGCCTGCCACTCCCCCAGGAACGGGCCCCGCCCCCCACAGGGCCTGCCACTCCCCCAGGAATGGGCCCCGCCCCCCACAGGGCCTGCTACTCCCCCAGGAATGGCCCCACCCCTCACAGGACCTGCCACTCCCCCAGGAATGGGCCCCACCCCCTACAGGGCCTGCCACTCCCCCAGGAATGGGCCCCGCCCCTCACAGGACCTGCCACTCCCCCAGGAATGGCTCCACCCCTCACAGGACCTGCCACTCCCCCAGGAATGGACCCCGCCCCCTTACAGGACCTGCCACTCCTCCAGGAATGGGCCCCGCCCCTCACAGGGCCTGCCACTCCCCCAGGAATGGCCCCACCCCTCACAGGACCTGCCACTCCCCCAGGAGTGGGCCCCGCCCCTCACAGGGCCTGCCACTCCCCCAGGAATGGGCTCCACCCCCTACAGGGCCTGCCACGCCCCCAGGAATGGGCCCCACCCTCCTACATGACCTGCCACTCCTCCAGGAATGGCCCCACCCCTCACAGGACCTGCCACTCCCCCAGGAATGGGCCCCGCCCCTCACAGGGCCTGCCACTCCCCCAGGAATGGGCCCCACCCTCCACAGGGCCTGCCACTCCCCCAGGAATGGGCCCCGCCCCCCACAGGGCCTACACTCCCCCAGGAATGGGCCCAGAGTTTTACTGGGCAGAAGTTCAGCATTTTACTCCCAGGCTTGGGAGGGGAAAGGGCACTGATAGTGCAGGTCTGTCTGCACGTCCTGTGGTTAAGCTCAGGACAGAAGTTGCTAGGGCCAGGGCCAGAGGCAAGGCTGGACCGGGGCCAAGGCCAAGGTGAGGGACAGGACCTGGAGGCTAGGCTGTGAGGTGGTCTTCCCGGGCAGCCAGGGGTATGGAAGGAAACACATTGCAGCTCATGCTCCTTTGACAAACTTCTCTCTGGTGTAGCCAGAACATTCCTTGCGTCATGTGAAGGGGACAGGGAGGTGGCAGGGTCTAGGAACGGCCCTGTGTGACTTGACATTTATGGTGTGTAAAACAGGAAAAAATAACAACAGCCCTCTCGGTAGCCGCCACCCAGCTCGAATGTCTCTGGGCTGTCAGTTTCTCCTGACTTGTCAGGCAGAGTCTGCTACCGGACAGTCAGAAACTAAGACTACCAGAACATCTTCCTGCCTGTCTGGCCTCATGCTGTGACCCATTCTCTCCTAAGCCAGCAGCCCCCTCTAGCCCTGACCCCAGGACTGGGACCCACCGAAGCGCCTGACCCCTGAGGACAAGACGCAGATGCTCAGCTGGTGTCCAGTGAGGACACCCTGCGGCATGACTGTTTCCACGAAGTTCTTTTCATCTTTGTTTTGATGGGTGACGTTCAATGCCAGAATATTTGGTTTGTGAGTCATGCTAATTAGGGCTGGGGGAGGGGCATTAGAAAGAACAGCAGAAAGGGGCATGTTCCAAAAAAGAAAAATGAATGCCGTGCTGGTCACCCTGAGCAGGAAGCTTATATCCGGGGACGGCGTGGGGGCTTTCTTGGATCCTGCTCAGGAGGACATCTCTCACTGGTGGGCAGCTGTGTCCTGAACCTGGACCCAAGGCCACATTTCTCTCCCAGGACTGCCAGGAGCACCTCCCTTGGCAGGTAGCAGGGAAGTCAAGACAGCAGGAGGGGAGAGAGGGAGAGAAAGAGAGAGACAGACAGACAGACAGACAGAGACAGAGACCAAGAGACAGAGACAGAGAAAGACAGAGAGAGACAGAGAGACAGAGACAGGGAGAGACAGAGACAGAAAAAGCAGCCAGTGCCCCTGGAAAGCAAACCTACTGTCTTTCCTGCCCAGCCTTCTCTTTTGGAAACGAGCGGCTCAGCTGAGCTCAGATTCCCTAGACTGCATGGAGAGTTCCCAGCATCAACGTGTGGGGGATGAAGACTAGATCCATAGATCAGATGAAGAGGATCTAGGGTCCCCTACCCCACTGCCTCTGGGGCATGGGGCAAACCATGAGCCCCTCTGAGCTTCCCATGGGCCAGAGACTCCTGGATGGATGATGGAAGATCAACAAACACATGCTTCATTCTGCTGCTTCTTGCCACTGCCTGGGCTGGGTGCTCGCCAGGCCCCTCTCCTGTTGGACGAGCGGCGGCGGACAAGCCCCCAGCCTCCCAGCTCTCCCTGGTGAGCAGGACTCTGAGCAGGCGTGCCGGAGGACACACCGCCCCTCCCCGCAGCACACGTCACAGTCTAGTGTGTGTTAGTGGCCATGCACGTGTGCTGCACAGCCTGCCGGGAAGTGTGTACTTTCTGCACTATTAAAAGCAGAGCGGGGCCTGTCTCTCAGGACGTCACACGCTCCCCAGGGATCCAGGAAGTTGTTTCTCAAGACATTTCTCATTTTCAAAGCTCCAAAAAGTATGCCCCATGGTCTCCCCACCCCTACACACTGAGAGAGGCAGACAAGGCAGCAGCAGGGCCACTGCAAGAGTAAATAAAGCTTAGCCAAACACCAGGGGCTCTTGCCTGTCATCCTAGCTACTGAGGAGGCTGAGATCTGAGGATCAGGGTCAAAAGCCAGCCCAAACAGGAAAATCCATGAGACTCTTATCTCCAGTTAACCAGCAAAAAGTGGAAGTAGAGCTGTGGCTCAAGTGCTAGAGTGCTAGTCTTGAACTGAAAAAGCTAAGGGAGAGCGTCTAGAACCTGAGTCCAAGACCCACTACTGGCACCAAAGTAAATAAATCAACAAGGTGGGGGAGGAGACTAAGGCTGGAAGGGAGAGGATGGCGGCGGAGGCTGGGAGCAGCCTGGGTGGGCTGCAGGGGTTGGCAAGGTGGGGTGCAGGCTAACAGGAGGGGACCACACCTATGCCACTGGAGACACGTGAAGGGCTGTGCGGAGGCTGGGGGGTGCTGCCAGAGGATTGAGGAGGTTTGAGATTGCAGCCCCAGACCAGCCCGGGGGTCCTCTCAGCCTATGGCGGCTTCACAGTTGGGGGAGAGAGAGAGACTGTTCCTACCCAGCCCATCTGGGTACCCTCCGGGACACACAGACAGTGGGATGCCAGGCAAAGTCCACCCTCCCATCCTGTGCCAAGGCCCAAGTGGGCACAGACAGCCCCGGATCGGCCTAGGTAGCAGATGGGTGCGGGGTCATGCGGGCTGGGAGAGAGACGCTTCCAGAGGTAGGGATGAGTACACACGTACGCCTTTTGCTTCCGTAGGAGAGTGTGGCAAGATCAACACGGCGGGGGACGGACGGGGCTGTGAGTTCTGCAGAAGAGCCTGCCTCCCTCCCACTCAGAGGTAGCCAAGTCCCAGTGACTGAGGGGAGGGGGGGGGTCAGCCGGCATCCGTGCACCCGCCGCCCCCTAAAACTTCTCACCTCTGTCTCTTTGCCACAGCTGCCAACCCAGCCCCTCCCACCCGGTACCTTGTCCACCAAGAAGGTGTCTGCTTAGTCCCGTGCTGGCAGCAAGCTGGAGCCACAGAGACAGGAGCGGGCTGGAGCTGGGGTGCAGCCCCGGCCCCCACGGCTGGGTCACCTACCTCCTGACAGCTGAGCCGGTTCGGCTGAATCTTTCCCGTCTCTCTCGGTCTCTTAGCGCATCTCCAGCAGCTAAGCCTCCTCCGGGCCAGGTCGGCAGGAAAGCACAGACTTGTCCAAGAAGAGAGAGAGAGAGAAAGAGAGAGAGAGAGGAAAAAAGTCCCCTGGGGAGGAGGCTGAGCGCGGGGAGGGCCGGATGTGAATGCAGCAGCACCTTTATCTCCCCGGCTAGCTCCAAGGTCTCTTTGGCCAGAAGCGGAAACGTGCCTTCTCAAAAGTCAAGGAAGAGAGGAAGAAAGCAGGACAAACACACAAGGAGCAAGCAAACCCCAGCCAGATGTGAGCTGCCGCGGAGCCTAGAACGCTCCCAGCGCAAATTACCCAAACAGCAGCCTCCGAGGATTAACTGTGTGTGTGCCCAGCCGGCCGGCCAGCCCTCCCTGCTCTGGCCGTGCCGGGGAGCCAACCAGGCGGGGGGAGGCGTCGGCAGTCTCGTCCAGATGTGGAGATGGCTGGGAGCCCAGGACAAGGACGCCCGGCACTGGCTGAGGGTGCCCAGAGAGGCTGAGGACCCCAAGTTACTTGGTGGAGGGGGATGGGCTTCCTGGAGCCCAGGTGGCCAAATGCTGCGTTCAAACTGTGGCTGACACACCCCCACGGGTCTCAGGTTTGAGGGTGCTCCTTGAGTACCTGTAGCAGCTTGTCAGCTTGTGTTTTGTGTGCGTGCGAGCACTTCAGAAAGCGAGGGTCCATTGCTTTGCTCAGAGTCTGCTGCAAAGGTGAGAAAGGGCCAGGAACCCATGGCTCACACCTGTGACCCTGGCAACTCAGGAGGCTGAGCTGAGGAGCAAGGTTCAAAACCAGCCTGGGCAGGAAAGTCCAGGAGACTCATATCTCTAGATAACCAGAAAAAAAAAAGCCAAAAGTGGAACTGTGGCTCAAGTAGTAGAGCATCAGCCTTGAGCGATAAAGTGAAGGGACAGTGCCCAGGCCCCCAAGTTCAAGCCCCAGTACCAGCAAACGCGTACACATGTGCACACACACACACACACACACACACACACACGCCAGTAAGGAAGGAAGCCTCTGCCTAGAAGTTTCCATCTCCTGAAGAACTCCATGACTGGGACGTGGGTCACTCTGTACATTTCTCAATCTTATTACTCAAGCATCCTTTCCAAACTAGCCCGAGTCTCCTCCCATGATGCCCCTGGCCTGGGGCCCTCCATCCTCCATCCCCAAATCTGAGTCACATAACTTGTGCTGGAGTCTTATCACCCCACCAGAAGAGGGAGGATCTAGCCCCAGGAGACCACACTGCTCTGCTGAACCAGGGCTTCATCTGGCTTCCTCCCAGGCCTGCCTCCCACTTCACTCCCACCCCGAAGCAGCGGTACCTGCTCACACTGGCTCTGCCCCCCCCCCCAGAGGTCTCCACAATCTGGGTAGGAGAGGTAAAATCAGGGCTGCTGGTTTGGGATGCCCACCCAGGACACAGCAACAGCAACAACAAAGGCTGCGTTTGGCAGCTTCCTCCCTTCCACTACAGCCACATCTGGAAGGGCTGAGAGGCTGGAAGTGGGCGGCCAGGAGGGTACGCGTGATGCCCACCAGGCTCAGTCTCGCTCCAAGGCTGGGCACAGGCCAGCTCAGAATGGACAGATGGAGGAGGGGCGGGCCCCGGGTGGGAGAGGCAGCTCAGGGTTCTCAGTGAAAGCTGTAAAGACCCCAATCTGAGTGCCAACCCCCCCCCAAAGGAGCCATGCTGACCAGCCCTCCTGCACCCAGAGGCCCCACAGCCACTTGGAGGGATGAATGAAGCTGCCACCGGTCTTTGGCACACGTGCCTGGGCGCGGCAGAGCTCACATCCTTGGTGGCTTGCCCTTACGGGAAGCCCGGAAGACAAACTCCCCTTCATTCCCGTAAGTGACCCCAGAATGCCGACCTCCCCGCTCCTCTGTCCCCTCCGCTGTGGCAGCAGGGGCGGCCGGGAGACCGGCAGGCCGAACAGGAAGGCCAAGTGGGTGACCCGCGGCAGTGGCCCCTGTGGGGTGGCGGCCCAGACAGACCGAGAGAACCTTGGAAAGTTCTCCATTGTCCTCCGGGGGAGCCTCTGCCCAGACCAGTCCCAGCGTTCACAACTCCAGAAAGAAAAAGGATGTGGACCGTGAAGGCTGGCTCTTTCTACTTTTCCCCTGGCCAAGATGGCCTTGGCGTTGAAGACGTGATCATTACAGCTCATGGAACCCAGGGCCTCTGCTTGCTAGACAGCTGCTGTCCCAGTTGAACCACGCCTCCAGCCCCTTCTTACATTGGTCATCTTCGAGGCAGGCTCTTATTTAATGTTCATGCCAGCCTAGACCGCAATCCCTCTGAGTGCTCCAGAGTCCCTGGAGACCACAGACCCATCGCTGTGCCCAGACATCGGTTGAGGTGGCCTCTCACAAACTTCTTTTCACCAGGGGCTGGCTTGGGATGGTGACTCCGCCTACCGCTACCCCCCAAGCAGCTGGGACTACAGGCTTGAGCTACCAAGCCTGGCTATGGTTAATGCAGTTCCAAGACACAAACTCAGAGGTCGGATACAGCTTTAGAAATCCACCAAAGGGCGCGCACCCATCTGCAGCTGGCTGGTCCTGCAGGAGGCGAGGCCCAGCCCCATGTCCACTCCTGGGCTCAGGGGAACACGTAGCCAAGTCCAAGGTCTCTGATAGGGACCAGCTGGGCCAGAGGTGCTCAGAGACCCCAGGGAAGGGGGGCAGCTCCCTGCCCCAAGCACTCGGATGAATCTTCTGCAGCGGGAAACATGAAGACCCTTCGGGGTCTCACGAGAGTTCAAGCCGGACTGTGTGGCTCAAACCTGTGTGTGCTAAACTTAGGGAAGAAACAGTTTTCAGAGGCTTTTTTGCCTGTAGTTTCTGGCATGGTGGAGTTGACACAAAGTGTTCACATAGAACTCACCATAGTCATTCTAGCACGGTATGGTCTATGCTCATTTCTTCCTTCCTTGTGGGTTGAGGCCCCCACAACTCCCAAGAGCTTGAAAAACCAGATTGCTCATTTTCCTTCAGGCAGAGGCTGGGGGAAGGGAGGTATGATGGGAAAATAGCAAAGGGAGCTTGGGGCTTCCCAAGGGGGGGAGGGGAATTCCAAGGAACAGGCCCTGGGTGGGGGTGCGTCTTCAGGGGTGCCTGTCACACAGACTCACAATCCAAGCCAACAGGCAAATGGGCGAAGACTCACAAGTGAGCTCCCAAAGCCTACCGCCCGCATTCAGCAGAAGAAATAAAACGTGTCGCCAAGCCAGACAGCCTGCCACTTTCCTCTGTCCTTTGTCATCGGCTACGTCTCTTCTTGGAAATGGTAAGTAGGAGAGACAGAAAATCTGGCAAGCAAGGGATGTTCTTGTAGATGATTTGATCTTCTTCCATCTCTTCCGCTAACGCCCCAAGCTACCAAAACCAGGGTGTTCTGAGCACAGCAAATGCCTTCCTGTGCGTGTCAAGGGCTAGGGGCAAGGTAAGCAGCAACAGCACAGCACAGCACAGCAGCAGCACAACAGACAGCAGCCAAACCCTCCAGCTAGGCCTGGCGTGGGGAACTCCTGCCCTGGGACAGAAGCCAAAGCCTGTGGTTCACGCCTGTAGCCTTGCTACTCAGGAGGCTGACAGCTGAGGATCATGGTTCAAAGCCAGCACAAACCTCAGACTCATCTCCAAAAAGCTGGAAGTGGAGGTATATGGCTCAAGGGATCATCAGCCTTGAGTGAAAAAGCTAAGGGACAATACCCAGGCCCTGAGTTCAAGCCCCAGTATTAGTGCACACACACACACACACACACACACACACACACACACACACAGAAATGCTGAGCCCCACTCCAAAGTCTCCATCTTGGGTCCCCAGTGAGCTGTAAGCCAAGCCCACTCATAATTTTCTAGGAGCTGCTTCTACCCAAGAGTGTCTGATCCTAAGTCAAAGATGTTCCCAAATGGCTTCACTGTCTAAAGCTAGGGATGTTTGCAGGACAAGGCCCCAGAGACTCAGAGAAGGACATTTCCTGGGACCCTTCCCCGGTGGAGGGGGCAGACCACGCTGTGCCCGCCTCTGTGTGATGAGTCTTTCCTGTTCCCTGGTGTGATTCTATCTGCTGTCTTCTCACTGGAAAGGCCTTGCAACTTCAAAGTCCATGAGACACTGAGTTCCCAGTATACACTAGCCTGCCGTTAGCTGCGACTCAGTTTCTCCACTGTAGTCCTGACACGAGGCCAACCCGGCTATTCTGAGCCAGGCTCCCCAGCCAGCCCACAAGGGCAGACACTGGTTTTTGCAAACTTTCGGATTCCATTCCACAGGGTAGCGAGCAGACAGGCGGGCAGGCTCTGATTGGTGGTGTCCCACTGCCAAGGGGCGGGGGAGGGGAGGTCCTCGCCCAGTGTGGGAGAAGTTGCTGAGATGGGAAGTGGGAACTTGGCAGCCAGTCCCCAGCTCCTGGCCACCAGCCTGTGCTTGTGGCTCCCACGGGCGACACCCATGTTCTGGGGTAAGCAGGTGGAGCTCAGGACTGGCCGTGGCCAGGACAAGCCTCCTCCAGGTGTGGAGGAGACCACCAGCATCCGGGCATTCTCTCTCCAGACCAGCCATTTAATTTCTTTGCCTCAGTGTCCCTATGTCTGCTTGCTTCATGCGGTTTTGACAAATGCACTCTTCCCAGTGGCAGGGGCACAGACCCAACCTTGATGCAGGGGCTCTTCTGGATAAATAGAGCGGGCGCGCCCCCTGGTGGACAGCATTGTCCTACCCACTTAATTAGGAAATGAATGCAAGATGGACATGTGTAGAAGAAACACAGGAATGAGTGGGGCAAGTGGAATGTGTCATCTCTCGCGTGGAGCCACAGACACAAAAGGAGAGAGGTTCCAGGAGACACTGGGGCTGTGGTTGCAACACCCAAGAAGATGATGCTCTGGCATGCTGAGTACTTTGGACGGAGAAGATGAGCAGTCTTAGAGGCAGCCTGGAAAAAAGCCTCTCTGACCTTCTGCTGCCCTCTACTGTCCCTGTCTCCCATGGGGAGCAGCTCTAGACACCAAGATTCCCCTCCCCTAAAGCTAAGCATTAAACCTAGAAGTACTGCTCTGACCTTCCCAGTCTCTCAGTGTAGGAACTGTCCATCAGGATGTTCCCGGCCCTGCCTGATGTTGGGTCACGTGACTTTCACTCCAGAAGGGGTCCTGAGGCACCCCTCCCAGGAAGCATCTGC